AATGGGAATGACAAAAGTGTCGAAATGGTATAAAACCAAAATTCGAAACATTTTCCTAAATACAGATCACAGTCGTTACGTAAAAAGCTTTTGCTTTTAATTTCATTGTGTTTTTCAATTAAAGGAATAAACGAACCTAAATCGTTTGTATCTAAATGAAGCAAACAAACAATACACTTATTGGAGCGTACTTTTCAGTTCCGTATTTTAATACAAACAAAAAAAAGCGCCTAACGATTTGTTATGCATTATTGTTGTTTAAAATAATCAAGATGAACCTAAAATATTTTAACTGCAAATATGGCTAAATGTTATAATTTTTAGAATGAGTTATTGTAATACAACATTTACATTTAAGATTCAACGTAAACATTTGTTACTTTGTCTAAAAGTCTAAATCAGGTCACATATAAAAAATTAGTATCAAAGTGCATACGGCTAAGAGAAATAAGATAGTAATCTGCCGGTGCCAAAAGGCATTCTGCCAGAATCTTGTAGTTATAAATCTTACGATACGTACAATGAATGGAAAGTGAGACTGTGACGTCCATGTTGAGAGCGCACTAAAGTTTACCAACTATCATATTTACAAGGTTCTATATAAAAGATTGATGGCAGAGAAACTTTTTGATGTGCTCGAGTAAAATGATCATCAATTTTATGTTCGTATTTTTGGATAAAAACAAAGTAAAAGTGTCCCTTGGTGCCTTTTTATGTACTTATTTAGATTGTATGGTTGTAAATATTATGAAAAATAGTTGGACTATGCTGTTAATTCTTTTCTTTCGTTGGATCTTTTAGATTTAAATTTAAATTTAAATTTAATTTAAGATTTAAATTTCAATTTAAAGAAATTCAATATATTACTTTATTGTATACTAGCTGTGCTCGCGACTTCGACCGCGTGAAATTAAAAAAAAATAGTAAAAGTGTAGCCTATGTTAGTCAGTGATAATATAGCTTTTTAATGGTGCAAAAAATTTTGAAATCGGTACAGAAGTTTTTGAGTTATTTCAATAGATACAAAAATCCAAAAATACAAAACTTTCCTCTTTATAATATTAGTATAGACATTGTATACTTATCAAGTTGTTTGGTTAATGTCTAAGAATCTGTATTTTAAATGAAACAACTCATTTTACTTTAATGTTTGTAAATAATGCGACTTAATTTACTTGCAAGCGCAAAGGCGGACTTGGATAACCCGTTAAGGATTGTCCAGCGGATGGAACTGAAGTCGTAACAGACACCGCAATCGATAATTGAGATACCATTCAGTAGGACGTGATCCTTACAAAATAGCCTATTACAGTTCGAAGCACGTACACACAGACTTCAAGTAATAACTTAACAGATTTGCTTTCAGATTTCAATTAATAATTTGTTCAATCTAATTTCAACAATGAGTAAAATATTAAATCGATATTCCAAAACGACTACAAAAACACTATAACTGTAATAATTAGAGGCAAAATGAAATTAAAACATAATCATTTATGTTGTTTTTTCTCTATTTTTTTAAAATTATATCAATAAAAGCTTAATTAGTTAAATATTAATATGTGCTGTATTAAAAAATATTTATTTTTCTATAAAAAGGCTTGAAACGCATTTACTAATTATAACTCTGTTTTGTGCACTGTGCTTTCGTAGTCTGCATAAGTTTTGTAATATATGGCCCGGTCCACTCGTAGCATTGCTTGTCACCGTCTCGTGTGTAAACCTTAATTAATTACAAAATATATTCCAAGGGAAATTATACCTTTTATCTTAACTCAACTTAAGCGCGGTAACTACAGCAAATCGATTTAAATAGGCATTTATTTAACCTATAGTAATATAATAAAGCACAAACACACTACTTCGTGGCGTAGGATGTCAGCAATTAGAGCATAGTTCTGAATCATTATTTCTTTAGTATAAAGCTCTACACTCACGACAAGCTTTATGGTAAATGTTTTCACGCTACTAAACTTAGGGGTAAAAATATTGGAAAAATACCTTCATCTTGAAAAGGAACCATAGTCTACAAGCTGCCAACATTAAGGCAGCAAGGTTATAATAGAAAAGTTCATTTTGACATTTGTAATTAGGAATTTGACAAATGTAAACATTAAAATAGAGATTTTATAATTTCATGCGGATGAAGCCGCATGGGACCAGCTAGTTGGTATATAAAAAATCAATAGAACATTGTTTTTCGAACGTAAAAAAGTACACTTATTACATTCCTTGTTTCACATTAAACCAAAATAAATACCGAAATAAACTTGTAAACATGTAAATTGGGGTCGTCCCGCGAGAACAACCCTGCGAAATGATTGAAATCATGTATGCAACAGTAAATAATTTTTTCATCCAACAGAAGTGTATAATTGTGAGAAAAAACTTTTTATGAATTTCGTACCTTGAATAAAGGAGGAATTTTCATAAATCATTTTCCACGATAACATCGAACTCCGGGAATCAAACCCACACGACATTACGATCACTAGTCCGTAATCTTATAGGCTATTGACACTTCGAACTTCAAGAAAGTTGATGAAGACAAGTACATTTATCTATATTAATATTATAAAGTTGAAAGATTTGTTTTTCAGTATGTATTGACGTAACACAAAAGATAGTGAGCCGATTTTTTAAAAAATTACCATTAAAAAGGCTAAGTTATCAGTGAGTAATTAAACTAAACTAAAGATTACTTTTTTTATTTCATGCGGATGAAGTCGCGAATAACAGCTAGTAGTTAATATTTGTTGACCACGAATTTTAATCACGCATATATAAATCTTTTGCAAATCATTCTTGACACCATCACAATATGAAATAACTAGATAGCTTTTCGCAATAGTAGCCGAGAAGCAAAGACGTAAGTGGCCAGTGAATATGAGAATATATTATGTGTCGTGAGTCAGGGGAGCGTAATGAAAATATTCAGTAAAGTTGGAAGCAACCGTTCCAACGAGTAGAAAGGAAAATACAAAATGGTATCAGTTTTCTCACGGTCAACGTGTTTCTTTGAAACCTCATAAACTATTTTTTATTTAAAAAGAACGTATTATTATTTAATAAACATATTAAATTGTGCATCATTTATATGCTAACATTTTAAATGTTACTAAGTTCTTCATCTTGAGATTGTTGTCATCTAAAGTATGCTCATTTATATACACAAAAATTAATTCTCTGGCGGTGTTTTTTTTTAAATAATAAGTTACTCAAAGTTCTTAAAAACAATTTGATTTAAAAAAAGGATGTATTGTATTAAAAAGTAAAATATGAATCCTGGGACAGTAATGTCAATAATCCTGTTAATTATTTTCCATATTTACTATTTACATAATTCATTTTAATACTTAGAAAAATTATAAATGCTTTTCACGCCTTAGCGAAGAATAATAAAATACTCTCGCGTTCGCTGCGAACGAAATAAATTTCTACTCCAAAGACTGTTACTGGTGAAATTTAATAAAGGAAACTTGAATCGATTTCGTGGAACTGAATCATTTAAGCTTTTTATAAAATACACCATAATGTATGGACGTAACGACGTTCCTCTTCATATTTTAATATACGTTTTGAATATTACAGGTATTCTGTGAATATTAAATAGCTTACTTTTAACGAGAAACTTTCGTTATTTGTTTATATATTTTTGCCTTGGCATAAAATGGGTATGTATGTATTTATTTTTGTTTATTAATGACCTCTACCTTAAATCTGCAACGCAGTAAATTAAAAGAGTATATTGAAAGTTTAATTTCAAGTTAAAGTTTGGCTTTTAAAGTAATAGTCTTTGATCTACGACTAGTCTGCGCTATTCCGGTATACGAGTAACTACCTCAGCCGTCAGTTGAGTGTGGTCGTGATCTCAAAGCGCAGCATGTTCGTTAAATTCTTTTGAACATACATATTTGTTTAGCCTCGAACTCTTTATTCTCCAGAAAAGCCTCGCTTCTAAAGTAAACTTGTTAGGCGTTTTTGGTGATTAAAAAGGTGATATGATTAAGTAGGGAGTGATCACTGATGACTGATGATAGAGTTATATGGAAGACAAAAACCTTCCGCGTTGACCCTACGGGAGTAAGTAGGGGTGATGACTAGTTAAACTTTTTGAAATATCGGTGGTAAAGTATGAAAATAAAATTTGAATTTACGTTAGAAATGTTATGTATTTGAAATCTACAATATATACGAGCTTCATTGACTATTTAATCCCAAGAGTGTCCTCGAGGTCTTTCAGCGGCTACCGTAAGACTACTTTACTTTTCTCTTTACAGTATATGTTCGTTCGAAAAATATAAAAGCTATACAAAGTTTATTGTAGGAAGATTATTTGTCAGTGGACGGGCCTTAAAATTTTATTACGAAATCTGTACGTTCAAATAATCGTAACTCGATTATGGCGTGTAATAACATCACGCAACAGTATTTTTTCCCATTTATCTTAATAACTTGTTTTTATAACTCAATATCTGGGAAGATGTTACGGTAATAGATTTACACGTTAATTATAACTTTTATGAGACGCTTTCGCTTATCAAAAATTATTATTCGACACGTTTTACACCGACATTTTCCTGCCGTTCGTTCGACCGAAAACGATTGCAAATTTAAGTCGCCTAATAATGTAGAGAGGTACGAATTTAAAGGTAATAAGATGTTCCAATTATGATTTGTAAAGGTACCTTTTTATTTATTATTAAAAATGGTTTTTATAAAGGAGGTTGGCAGATTTTAAGACATTTATTTAATAACATTCAACCTACTTCAATAAGAAGGAGAAGAGAAGAAATATAAACGTGTTTCATTTGTTTTTTGGTCCCAGAAGGTGGTTTCAGGAACGTCTTGAAGGCGCCTTATGGCTTATGAATATGAATTAAATTTAAAACATTACGCGATCCACTGGTCTTTGCCACCTTTTACTATATAAAAAAAAACCTAACCAGAGTGAAAGTTAATAAAAACTGAGTTACCCTGTACTTTTGATTCGGTTTCAGAGTTCCGTAGCTGCTCAAATAGTGAGCACCGCTGAGCTTGAATCGTTCAAAAATTCAACCAGTTCCTTGGAAATGAAGGGACTTGTTCGAATTATTCACGCGCCATTAGCTCAGTTCACACTTTTGCGTGGAGCATTCGCTCCTTTACTTAGACTAACGCTCACTGTCTTTGATAAGAAGGGGTTGTAAATTGGGCTCGGTTAATTACACACGTCTTGTCTCCAGTGACTTTTAATTTAAATAAAATGCTCAGGCAAATTTCTTGTTCTTGTTTTACTTTTACAATGTAATTTTTGAAGTTTATTTATCTTGAATATTTTTAATTATTTATTTATTTACTATATACTAGCTGTTGCTCGCGACTTAGTCTGCGTGCAATTAAGTAAAAACATAGCCTATGTTACTCTACAAGATTTTTTGAAATCGGTCCAGTAGTTTTTAAGTTATTTTAATACTTTATATTACTAGTACAGACGATGTTCTTGCATTATTTTTAACGTATATTCACAACTGATTACTTACATTTAAAATTAAACGCTACTTAAACGATTTAATGTCTAAATCCTTTTGATTGAGTTCATAATGATAAAGTTAAGTCTCCAAATTAGCCACGTTTCATAAAGTAAGGGGGAACGCGGAAAGTCGCGTTTAAATTAATGTCGATTTAAGTAAAAGTCTATTCCTCAGGTACCATCACAGGTTATTCGTATCGTATCATTTATACATAAAAGTTAACGAAAACTGTAATATTTAAATTTAGTTTGCGTTAGTTTCATTCCGCGCTAAAAGCAAAAGTTTTGAGAACGTAAATGTTGATGCAGCGAACTCTCACCTAGGCATTGAATTGATAATGTTGCCACGTCCGAATGTGTTGTGCCTTTCTGTTATTAACTTTTATGGTAAACTAGCTTATGCCCACAACCTCGTCCGCGTGGAATTAAAAAAACTAAAGTAAGTAGCATGTGTGTTCTTTCAGATTGTTCTACATCTATGCCAAATTTCATTCAGATCCTTTAAGCAGTTTAGGCTTCATATTCCAACAAACATCCATCATTCCATTTAAATGTTCGTATTTATTATCTAACTGATATTATAAATGCAAAAGTTTAGATAGATGGATAGATTGATGTTTGTTATAGTTTGTAGCCTAAACGGCTGAACGGAATTCGGTGAAATTTGGTACAGATGTAGATGATAGTCTGGAAGAACACATAGGCTACTCACTTTTGTTTTTTTATATCGCGAGCGAAAACTAGTATTACTATAATAATAAATTAGTAGTGACACAATTGTGTCAGAATAGGTCGCGTATTACGGTTTAATAGCATTTGTATGACGCAATTTTTATTCATGCTCTCTGAAAAATGTTTGTTATCTGCGACAAAACGCGAAGAATAGACGACTAGTCCAACCAAAGAATGGTCGTGTAGCTGTGGATCTTCGCACACGGTGTCCAATAGTTTCCTGTTGTAAGGTCAGAAGAAAAGGCATATTTACTTACTTAAGTAATCTCCATATTCGAAAACTTATATATTTAAAACTTTCGTTGACAAACCTGACAAAATGTTTTCAGTTAAACAACATCGAAACCGCATTGATTTCAGTTTCGAATGTCAATATGAAAATTTGTTACAGAAATTGAATAAAAACCTCTATTGAGTCCAAACGATGAAGTGGGGAAATAAATCAATTCTCTATTCATTTGACTAGTTTTTTAGATGTCCATATTTTAAGACTTCGTATTGGTTGATTCGGTAGAAATGTTACATAATTGTTTATTTAGATATGGCATTCAGATTTTACTCAATGTTAATATTTACATTATTGTTAATATTTAATTGGAAATGACTAAAATAATGATAGTTAACAAACTAATTTACTTCATGTATACTTAATATCTTTTACTTATCATGATTATACATAGAATTTATACAATATTTTGATAAATACGTTTTATTTTTGCAGTAACATTACCATTAATTCACAACTTTTGTCTCTGCCTCGAGCATCAAAAATGTACCCTTTTGTCTGCATTTCCACTTTCCGTCGTGCACTTGAGTACTATTTACATCACATACGATTTCGTATTCGCTAAGTGGTGCCTTTTCCTAACCTCCCTTTATGTTCAAAATGTTGTTGCTCGTCTCAACGTCATCGTGAGTTTCCACTGTACAAAAACTTGTACAAAACACATTGCCTGTCTTTGTTTTTCTAAAAAGAATAGGATATTTCTCTTTATTTACCTACTACGTAACTTACCTTTGAAACATTAATGATGTTTCGATTGATATTGTAATGTGATTAGAGCGCATCGTAAGATTTTAACTGCACAGTTAAAACTGAGGATGTATAGGCAAAATTAAGAACAGTGCAGTTTAACTCATAATTAAAATTTTTCCTACATACATAAGTTGAAACAGAAGGTATAGCAGACTAAATCCAATAATTTAAATGATGTTTTTTCTATTGAAATAATTTAGAAGAAAACAAAGAATGATATAAAGGCAATAGTAATGATTACAGTCACGTAAAAACACTTGTTACACCGTCGACGTTGGCGCGACGTCGTGGAGACGAGCGACGGCGGGCATCAATCACTTTTGCTTTGCTATGTTTAGATTGCCCAAATTAAGGTCGTTTGTGCGAGTTCCCTCTTGCCTCGAGGAAAAATAATGGCGATAACTCTTCTCGGGCATTCGTCAGAATTATTTGGAGAAAACATATGTTATTCCTTTATAAACAACAGTAATTACTCGTGAAAAGGAAACAAGGGAACGATTTATTAATCATAAAGGAGTGAATGAACGAATACAAAAATAATTTCCACGTTGTGTTATTCGAATTAGCTATCTGATCAAAGGTATACTTTTCTTTAATAGCATTAAGGTGGCTATCGAACAAGTGCCCACTTTGCCAAAATAGAAAAGAACTGATATTAATATTAACTTTATTCAGCTTATTTAAACATCTACCAACGCACATATAATTTTTGTCCATTCTGCAAGTACTTTACTACATAATACTAAAGATTCTATTGTTAGTACAAAGTGAATATATCACTACAAATGTTTAACATTACGAACTTCTAAGTAACTCTTTAAGATGTTGTTAATTTATTTTCCGCCATTAACAATTCCACTCAGTGCCACGTGGAGGAGGAAGCGTACGTAAATTCGACATCAAAAAGGAATCCAATTAATACATATTAATGGTATGATGTATTCCACATTTGACGGTAGTTAATTAAATTTTAACTTGTCGAAAAGCGCGCGTATATTTGCTGCATTTACGAGCAGAAAACTCAATTGGATCACTCCGTTCATTTAAAAATATATAGACACATTGGAAAGTTGTAATTGATTTCCAATCAGAATGATTGGGCATTTTATGTATTCAATTACTTATTATATAAAAAAACGCTTTTTATAAAATTGAATAGAACAAGCGAAACCACCATTTTCAGCGCTTTAACAATTTTGAAACTAATTAAGTAGTAGTAAAAATTATACATCAGTTAAGCTGTCTTTAATTCGTTTATAATGTTTTGCGATAGTTTAAACTAGGGTTGTAACGGAGGCCTTTTTAACGGAAGCGGATGTGGATGCGAAGGCGAAGGGCTTTACCTCTGCAGAAGCGGAGCTCAATAATAAAATGTTAATTGCGCGAGAAATAAATACTAAAACTACGTTAAACCAAAATACAGATTGGTACATAATTACAAGATACAGTTTATTATGCAAATGTAATGTATACCAATTATAGTTAGTTGCCATATCACGCCCGCGCGGCCGTAAAAACGATACCTAACTGCCCCACTAGCGTTAAAGACGTAAAGTAACCTCCGTTATAACTCCGCATAAGAAATAACGGAAGCGGAAGCAGATGCGAAGTTATCATTTCTTGCGGAAGTTCCGCACTTGCGGATGCGGAAGCAGAGTTCCATTACAACCTTAGTTTAAACAGTAGTAGATAGTAAATTTAAAATATAAATAAAATGTGGTTCTAATTATTTTTATTAAGTTCTAATAACAAACACTCAACTTTTAGTTCTCGTGGTTTGTGTTTTAACAAACTCGAAATACGGAAAACAAAGAAATGCGCGTTTACAATTCCTCAATATTTTATTCACGTTATTTTATAACCATTGTTTCTTTAACATACATATTTGGAAATTTTTGATATTCTGAAAACTTTATATCTAACTAATTGTAACTGGTTCTTCAGGACTACTAGAATAAAATAGTACAAAATAATACAAAAACACTTATTACACGTAATGGTACAGATTGATACAAAAGTTAAAAATCACAAAATTCAAAATATCTATGTAATAAATAACATAATAAAAGTAAATATTTGGTAATATTCTATAAAAAAAAAAACAAAGAACTCATCTATTACATTAGCTAAATTTCAAATTAACATATAACATTTTGCATTAAAATTCCATAATATACAGTAATAGAGCCAAAAAAAATTAAAATCGTTTATTTACAAAGGATCAACAAAAATGTTCACATTTTTTATGAATATCCATCTACAATACTTAATGTTAGCTATATACAATCGCATCAAAACATCAGTTGTATACATTCCTTAACACCGCCTAATGTAACGGAAGTCTATTCAAATATTTGGTTATATAGGCTGAACATTAAATTGCATTTAGTTTACATTAAACAATCTATTTACACTAATGTGTTAACCTAGTTATTATCACGTTACATGTTAATAAATAATGTTTTAGACAAGGCAAATAGACTGCCGAAAACTAAAACAACACACTATCTTTCTATCTATAGAAATAAAAGTCTGTCTTTCATTATTATATCAATTTTAAAACTTTCGTAGAATTCCTTAATGTTGTTAAATAAAAAAAAAAAAAGAAACTTAATCTTAGATCAAAATTTGAAGATTAATCATTTAGAATTCGAACCTTATCTTAACACAAATAAAATGAAGCAAAGTGTTAACGTTGACATAAATTACGACCAGTGTGCAATCCTGTAAATCTAGCCTTCTCCTCTAAGCGTTTTTCCACCGAAACATCTAACTAAAAATATGGAGCATCCCGCTTGTTTCTTTTAAAAAAATAGAGATAGCAATATCTTTCGTTCCATCATTGGGTTCCTTGGGTTAGAGGTATAGGCGAGATGAACACGAAATGCATGTTGATGCGGGATATTGACATAGCAAAGAATTTGAGTTGAGTCTTCAAGTTTTGGTTTATAAGACACGTGAGAATCTTAATTACAAATCGTAATTTTATGTCTTGGAGTACTTAATGTAGTAGTTATAATTAATGTTAATTTCAGTTTGTTATTTTATCGGATAGTCGTTCAAATAAACGTAGGAAGTAGGAAGACCATACTTAGAGTTAATGTTGCGGTTAACGTAGTAGACGCACCATTAGGAGTAGTTATAACAATTTTGCCATCGTTCGAGTACCATTTGTTGGCGCGGTCGGGCACTCGATTGCTTTTCTCATTGTCGTTGTTATTCGGAATGTCTTCGTCGTCGTATATTTCCGTTCCATATTCGTCATCTGATGTTGTTCTTTCATCCGGATATTGGTACACATGTCTGTCGTTTCCCGGTATTTCTGTACAAGAGAAATCAACTTTATTTTTAACGCTTATGCTCATTTGTATAATGTACCATACATATAGCCCATAGAAGCTATAAACATTTATTTAGCTTTGCTCGACAAAAGAAATCTTGTCACGATAAGTCACATGAAAAGTAAATTCTTTAAGTTACACAATTTTCACTTTAATAATTTCTTTAAGTTACACAATTATCTTTAACATAAGGAACAGTAGTAATGAAGAGCGAAGACAAAACAAAAAATTTAAATAGGAGGGTGAAATAATTACCATATAATCGAATCTTGCTTTCAACATCACCGAGAGAATTTTTAGCCACGCAAATATAACTGCCTAAATCTTCACGGCGTATATTTTTAATGGTCATAGACATTTCCGCTTCGAACATGGACTTCTGTCGCACCGTCATCTCGTGGTGCTCAGATGGTATTATCAGCTCACCTGCGAAACAATTTATTACTTAAAACACTCACTTCCAAATTCAATATTAGAATTTCATTTTTCTTGCGCAAAGTTTTATGAAAAATGTTAAAACTTGCTACAGACACCTAGGAGTTTTATGGCTGTGTTATAATTTGTTTGGTTTCTTATTAGGGCTCCCACACAAATATAAATTACGTAGTTATTTTTGTTCAATTACAAAAACTGACGATTTTTTCAATACCGGTATCATCTTCATCATAATCAGTTCAAGATGTCAGACAAGTTGTCCCCATTGAGGGACTCGGAGCTGACCCCAAGTTTGTTGTCACAAGGTATTGGTATACTCATACATAAACAAGATAATTTCAATTGAATATCGATAGCCTCAATATTATAAGGAGAACGAAGAAAGTATGAATAGATATACGTGAGAAATTAAGGAATCCGGATATTATGGCGAATATAGATGTATGGAAGAGAAGGAATCGGGATATTATATACTGTGCCCAAAGGTATGCCTATGTGGGATAGGGCAGGAAGATATTAGGTACGTAATATGCATTACTTACCTGGATCCTTAACCCAGTAATTGATAGACTTAGGTGAGGACTCAACGTAACATTCAAGAGTGACGTCAGTGCCCAGCGGTGCGCCTACGAGCTGATTGGGCACCTGGATTACTGGATGAACTATAAATATAAATTTATATTAATTACATCTCTGCCCTGATCATATTTCATTTCGTAATATTTCACAATAAACTTCCAAACAACAATCATTTTCAAATTAACCTTTTAAATACGACCTGGAGTTTTGCGAATAACTTACAATTTGACCCTAATTAAATACCAATTTCCCTCAATTTACATAGCTCTCATTTCAAATTTACAAATGTTATCCGATATTGTTATTAGAAAATAAGAAATACGAATATTTTCAAATATCAATTAATACATAACAAATAAAATAAATTTATAGACAGCATATAAGTCTTTAGTTCACTTGATGTAACTTACAATGTACGCTGATATGAATCCTCTTGCTAACCGTAGGCGGGACTCCGTTGCTTGCAATGCATAAGTATGTCCCCATTTCAGATCGGGAAATTTTCGACAATTTTAAAACCTCCCCTTGGAAAGACAGTACTGTAAATATTAGGTTGAATCAGTTTAATTATGTGAATGTAAAATAAATGCTTTAATTTGTTTATAATCAGAAGATTGTCTCAAATTTAATTGTCGGAACTTTAATTTACAAAGAACAAAGGGATTCATTGTTAGTAATATAATATTATTATTAGTAATTGGTTATTGATAAGGATATCACAGTGACCTATTCAAGGGGTCCAGCGTTCGCACAATGAGACCTAGAAGTCTATTCAACGCAGCAACTCTACTAATTACGACAAACTTTAAACAATACTGGACGCGAAACTCATCCCGAGAATAGTGGCCGCGCGGCTCATTGTGCCCTCACAAATGCGGTCACAGAGACACTAGTATTATTATACATATTCAGAAAAACAATGCCGTCCTTGCACTATTCAAATAAACTAAGACAAATGAAATATTTTTCCTGCAGCTAGCCGAGTTAAGTGAAATTTTGGGGTCAACTTCTTGTTCGAGCACAATATGGCCTGCGAGAACGGGCTTGACATTTGACAATTGAAACTCTGATATGGCATTGTTTCTTGACTTCGTGTAACGAATAACGTTGCTGTTCGTGTGTTTGTATGTTTATTTTCAACAATGTTATGAGTCTGTCAACACAAAAGTACTCGAGCTTTCAATCAAAATCATTCAGCGGTCGCGTGTTGGAGTGGCGATGTTATCAGGTCGATGTGGGCCGCTACGAGGGGAAACGGATTGCTTTCCTACACTAGTAATTTGTAAAACAATAAACCAATGAAACCTCTTCTAAAATATTTATTACTAACAGAAAATTAAATGTATTTTAATATTTGGGTAAGAGCATGTGAATAAGCTATCACTGTGATAAAAATGTACGAGTATACACTGTTGTAGTAACAATTGTGATATTATTTGCTTCTTACATATACTCGTACCTTATTTTATTATAGAAAGCCAGGAGTTTTACAACTTGCGTGTTGATAAACGCTCTATTTATCGTTACACATTTAGCCCTTCCGTAGATCTTTTGGCTGTGGTTTACGTGAACAGTACACGACTAACAAACACGTAACATGTGCGGAAACTATCTAGTGGTTGCAGTTCAGGTTTTAGGACATCAAAGTCAGAAAAAATGTGAAAAAGATTTTTTTTTTATAGAATCGAGTACTCGTACTACCTTTAGTTTTTGATCCGTTTTGATCTCTAACAACAATTTCCTGTCCATCTTCTCGTTTCCACATGACCCGTGGCGGTGGTATCCCCCTCGCCTTGCATGACACCCTCGCGGTACCTCCCTCCGGTACCATGGTGTCACCTGACGTCTCTTCAGGAATGAAATCAGGCGGTATCACAACTTCTAGGAATCCCATCTAAAGTAATTATTTCTGTCAGAAATCATTATCATACTATAATTAAGATACAAAGCTCACTATTTAGCTACTATTTCTCATTTTACTTGGGATCCGCAATTTATTTTTAGCCTAGCATGATTTATCAATTTGGTTAGATTTTTTTCGTAAAGTAAGAAATTGCTTAATTCTCTACTAGAAGTTACTGAGTAATCTAGCTGCTCCGTTGTACTAGGTGAGTAACGAAGGGTACGATACTATGCGAATATCGCGTTTTATTTTGGTGGCAACGTGGGCAACAAATTACTAGACCAGGCACAAGCCCAATTATGGTGCCTGTAATGAGGATGTGTGCCATAAGACGTGCTAAGACTGTACCTTATTGCATGTTCTGTTGTTCATCGATATACATATCGTGTTACAAACCTGACTTTTCATGGGATCCGTGTTAATCTGACACATGTATTGTCCACGGTCCTCCTCTTGCACGTTCTTTATGTGCAGGTACCAGGTGAAGTGGTCGCTATGTGACACAGAGACGCGGTGGTTGTGCGTGATGACGTGCTCGTGGATTGCCTGTATCGCCTTTGTGTCCGCCTTCACCCAGCCCACCTGTCATAGGCACAAAGACCGGTTATAAATATTCGGCGCTCGTAACTACAGTATTGTCCGCAACAAAAGCATGGAAACTATCAGGTTTATTATTTTTTTATACTGACAAGATTTTTTTATAACAATATTTTGTTAAATTATAAAAAAAATATCGTAGCTACGAAAAATTAAATAACAACACACTTAGAACAGATCTGTATTAACGTGTTTTGATATGACATTGACTAACAACATTTTTATTTCATTTTAATAAAACTAGCTATAGTAGAAATCGATTTAATTGTTAAAACGTCACCAAAACACTACTACTTATAAAAGACGTTTATTGGAACTCAACATGCATTTAAAATGCTTTTAAAATGTTTATATCTGTTATCAAACTGCGGTAGTAATTATGTTAGTGGTAATTATAGAATACTGACCCGGTAATTGCCTAAATTGACGACGATACATTTGAAGGTTGCGTCACGCCCGATAGGGACCGTGAGGTTGGTGAGGGGCTCGCCGAACTCTGGGGCGTCAACACCTCCTGCACACATGTTTTGTATTAATTTATTATAATACAATATTCTTAATACTTTTATCAGCATAATTATAACTATTTTGTCACTAAGTAATTATGTGGAACTGGATAACAACGAGAAACAGTTTCAAACTATAAGTGCCGTTCTAAAAATCTTTTAGTCATCAAGAGAATTTCTTCATTTATATTTAACTAGATAAATCCATACTAAGAGACAAGGTAATCATTGAGCGAATTTAAATTTAGCTATAATAGGACAATTTTACTGAATTAACGCCTATTTTATTAGGTTTGTGAAGTAAATAACACTAAGGTAAGCGAAGTTATTTATAAAATTCAATATAATATTTGTAATATTATAACAAGATCCAAACAAGACGGACACATCTGGACGTTAGTAAAGTTTTATGTAAACCTGAAAGCTCCGAACAAGTTTTCTTAGATCATTGAATTGAAAAACATGGACAGTTCTTATTACTTTTTCTTATAATATATTTATAAGTATAGTACTGTTTGTCATAAAAGTAATAAAACAAGGTGATTGTACAACAGCTTTACAATTCTATTAATAATATTTAGAGAGGGGGCACAACTTTGACTAAACTATCGCACAACTGTGGTGCGATTGTCGATTGTTTCGCACCCAATTCAACTGTTTAGTTGCAAAACTAAATATCGAGTAGTGTGCGCATATAACCTCGTAGTAATCTAAATGCTACTAAGGAGTTGTGTGATAATTTAGACAAAGTACGCGCTCTTTGTATTAAATTAAAAACATGCAACTTTATAGATATTACAATTTTGTTTGTGAAAGAAAGTAAATATTTTTAAAAATTGTGCAAGTTTAAATCTTCGCAAATGTATCTGTAAATGCAAAATATGTAAATAATACAGCTTAATTATTGTCAATCCTCAGCCATTTCACAATAGATCGCTTTAATTTGCAAAACAATTGTTCGAATTGCGTGGCCGAAGACTGATGAGGGAGGAGGTTAGTAAGAGACATTAGTTTGTGGCTCGTATACTTGTGGCCTTATCTGGAATGTCGCCACAAAGTTGTCGCACCGCGCCGCCTCGCCCTGTCTTTGGTATTCACGGTACTGTCGGCCGCAGTGCAGTTTGTACTCACTTCTACACCTTGCAACAAAGTATCAACTAAGGATCCTTTCCACTAGCACGACTAGTTCCGCGACTTTGGCCTCGCGCATGTTTGTAACAATTTCACCCGCTTAATCTCGACTGAAACAACTATAGGTTGATTATTGTCTTAATTATTCTCTTTAAAAACACAAAAATCAATAAAAGATTTCATAGAAATGTTACGGCTGTGTAACTTCATGGTAAGAATCGTATCTGCTTGCGGCCGGAGTTGAGTAGCTTTGCTTAGTGGAAATGGGATTAACCGCTCCCAGTCGCTAACCGCGGCTTAACTTTAAACATCCGACACGAATAACTTTAGTGATGTACATTATCGATAACGTTTACTCCACGTTACACAATGATTTTCGATAAGCTCTTATATTATTCAAGTGATGTACTATTGTTGGATGAAGCTGATGAGTTTTGTATTATCTTTTTATTTGCGTATAGCATGACATACCGAAGGCGTTATTACATTGTTCCTATTGTCATTGGTTTAATAACCATTTAGCAGTGTTTTATCCTTGCTGACTGGTCCATAACAGGTTTATTTTTCTAACTGTGTACGAACTTATTTACGGTCGCATTACATACTAAAACCCGTGAAAAATGCATAAGGCATAAAATCTTGCATTGATCACTTGGAGAAATATCTATTATCCACGATTAGAACGGAAACATTAGTATGTTTTGTACGTAATTCTGCAAATACTCGTAATACCATAGTAACATAAATAAAATTAACCTCAAATATTTTAAAATCACAAATGCTAAACAAACTGTAATATGATAATTCTAAAATATAACTTTAAGTCACCTGTTTTTTTTTATAAAAACAGCAACAGCGTTCTACGTGGAAGACATAACATTAGAGAACGGTCTCGGTGAAGGCAGTAAAAACTGCCATTTTGCAACTACAGCGTCCACAATATCGTCACAGGCTGGGACGCAGTAAAATGTTTACAAAATATCCTCCTTTTGTTGAGGGTATCTCGCTAGATATTGTTTTTGTATTACCGCTTCAACCGAAATACCTTTTTCCTTTAAAGAAATTCTCGGAGAGGTGAATAATTCTAATTCCATTGTATACTGAAAATGTTCAAAATAGTGCGGGATGCTTACCATTTCATACAATAGTAGGACAAAACGAGACATCTATTTTAAGCGGGAGTGAAGATACGCGTTAATTCTAAATATTACAAACAATATGCAATAGCCGCCAACAAAATGCAATGTACAGTAAAGTCTTTTGAGCGCTGATATCGTTTTTTAGGACGTGCAAACATTGCACCGTTACAAAACTTCTTCGGAATTGAAGTATTAACTACCAAATTAAGATATTTATTCTCACAGACAAAATTAAATTGAACATACAACCAATGATACTACAAAGTGGCTTTTGACTGTTATAAATTCAGAAAGTTATTTTAGTGTTAGTTTAATTATGCAGAAAGTAACAAAATTCCAAGCGTTGTTAGCTGTGACGTTGAATGTATTCATTGTTTTGTATCAGTTGTTTATTTTGGGTTTACTAAAATAAGAAGTAAGTATGTAAATATTACTAAAACAAATTTGGTGGGGTAAAGTAAAAAAAATGTTTATATTCTATATGTATTTACGTGTTGCAAGTATAAACACGTGAAAACAAATTCAATGTCGTTCAAACAGTGTATTGTTCCAATAACAATTTTCTGTTTAAAAGATACACTGTTTATCCCAATTTTATGTCCAAATTTTCAACCTCGCAATTTCAACGTGATACGTTCATAAATTCAATGAAATTACCCATCTTTCTGCGCTTCAAAGAGGCCATATATCTCCCCGTGGAGACAGCGCCTTGCAATGTCGACCATCACGGGAATGATAAATCAGTATGGTTTGCAATTCGGAACAAAAAGCTCGCTCATGAATATTATTCCTCTTTTTAATTTACTTACTGACTAGCATGAGATTAATAGCGTAAACTCGTGTTAATTAATTTATTTTCTTACATCGTACCGAAAATGAAGGCATAAATTGTTATTCTGTACCTTCGGCTTCTTGGAAATAAATAAGTTATCAGAAACAATAAGATAATTAGAACTCTGAAAGTATGACCTCTATACAAAAAATATTGCTAAGAATTATATTTAATGAACATATTCACACTTTTATTCGACTATTTATTATAACGCAAGAAAAGATATGAGTTTATTCAGAATGTATTAACGAATCCTAGAGTCAAAATCAAAAACATTATTATTCCTAGAATGTTATCAATTTGATTCTAGGATTTAATTTATCGTTTCATATTCAGTGTAAATTTTGTAACAAACATTTTATGTTCTAGTTATCGTACACTGATTTGCTTGTTTAATTTAAATGGAAACTAAATGAAGGTTGCAACTGGTCATTTGTCATGGGTCGGGGCGGCGCTGTACTGAGGCAAGTTCCGGCTGCAAGCAGCTTTTATTAATATTTCCAGCTCGAATTCACGCTTTATTAGCAAACAGCCGTCATGTGGCTGATAAATTATTAATGTGGTCGCGGCACAGCTTGCGTTTTGTTATCTACACTTTTTATGGCCACTAAAAGACATTAGCCCAAAAGCTTAAACATTTATGCTGGATAATATGAATTTTATCGGTTGGAGAAAAACAGCGTTGCACAAATATACATACACTAGCTGTTCCATCATGCATCATCCGCATAAAAGTATTAAAATTTTATTTTGTTGTTTACATGTGTCAAATTATCAATTGTAAATTTCAAAATGACATGACATTATGACAAACCATAGCAACCTTGTTTCCGTGATGTTGGCAGCAACTTATGATCTCTTTCCCATATTATTGGATTTTTTGATCCAAAATATTTACCACCTAAGTTTGATGGCGTGAAATATATAGTCTAAAGCGTGACGTCAGTGTAGGGCTTTTAATTAAAAAAAAGAATTATATAAAAATATGCTTTAGTTGCTAACATCTTAGGCAACAAAGAAGTGTGTGTTTACGCTTTATAATAATAGTATAGATAATATACATATTGACATAATAACAGAAATATTACGCGATATCAATTATAACTCGTATCAATATCAATCTGGAAGTTTGGGAGACCACATCGATATATATAAAAGTACTTGTAAGATCAAGGTAAAGCTAAATAAATAGTTTGATCATTTTAAAAGTCCATTAACCATAATACATATGACATGAACGTTTCCAGCGACAGGCAATCAATTCATCGTTGTATCATACAAAGAACACGTTGGTAATTCCTTAAGTTATTGCGAAGATTGTAACACTAGAGTTGGATTCATCCCATTTTTCATCGTCCCGCTCCACGGGAGACAGCTCTTAAAAACGTTGAAAGTTTCTTACGTCTTAAAACCACCAATGTTTCTTAATTTCGTACTCGCGACCGTGGGTGGCTTTGAATTATGAGCGTGGCTTGCATGACTGATTTTATATTATCTCTGATTTTATTACACAAAGTAGTTGGACGCTACTGTAACAGATCGAAATAGATTTCCAGACAGAACATTACCATAAGCAATAAGTTTTGTGAATTTTGTAGACAGTTAATTTAATCTCTTGAGTTATACGAGTATGTATTATTTTAACCATTTGGTATGAAAAATATGAAAATTACATAATTAATTTATACAAATTAACATCTATGTAAAATCATGTAAATTAGTAAAGCTACTCTGCCAAAAACGTGCACCTTTTATTGTTACAAGCATTAGGTACGTATATTTTATAGATTGTAGACAATTATAGTCTACAGTTTGTTTGGATTATCTTAAAATGTCCGTTCAAATTATAATCGAACGCGCATTGTAACTGTAGCGTTCATTTGTAGTATTTTATCTCGAATATTGG